TATTCAGCTCGCGAGTTTCAGGTCCAAATAGCTGGAAAGCAAAACATGCAGTTAACTTTAGCCAACTGCGAAGGACATTGAGTGGGAGAATTTGCTGCTGGCAAGTACTTTAGCATGTAAAGGTAGTTGCTACTTAAATCCGAACGCCTACCACACACTCTTTCCACAGGATTTACAATAAAGATCTTCAGCCAGAAAAAACTTTTGTTTCTAACCATGGTTTCCAAAAAGTTACACCAGGTTTTAGTTTTTTGCCAAAAGGTGAGGGAATTTTTGGGTCAAGGCTAGTGAGAGTTCAATCTTTGTGGATAATGTGAGCACTTTTTTGTCTTGTTATCCCGGATGAATCGTCTAACCCTGTTCTGTGCTGCTGATCACGCTTGTGTTTTACTGAGCCACTGCCAGTCTTCTCTTTTCCTCCTCCTCCGTTGCTTGTTGTTGGAGAGAGGATTGCAGCGTGGCTCAGTAAAAACAGCGTGTCAGCAGACAGACAGGTTAGAATTCATCGGATAACAAGGACAAAAGGCTCCACATTATCACAAGATTGAACCTTCACTACCTGACCAAATTCCCTCCTTTTTTGGCAAAAGACAAAACTGGTGTAAACTTTTTTGAACCATTGGTTTAAAACAAAAGGTTTTTTTCTGGTGAAGATCTTTTTGTCTCTGGATTGGGGAGTGTGTGCTAGCGTTTCGGATTTAAGTTAGAACCTACCTTTACATGCTAAGCTTACTCAGCTCAGCCATTTTCCCCACTCATTCCTTCCAGTTTGGCTAAAGTTACTTCATGCTTTTGCTTGGTCCAGCTATTTGGACCTGAACCTGAGACCTGATCTGTTTCCTGTTTTCCCTTGCTTCCTGTTTCTGGACTTTTGGCCAGTTCTTGACATGTATTACCAAAGTGCTCTCAGAATGTTCCCAGCCTGCTTAGAATTGGCTTCTAGGTTTTAACTCTTGTAAGGCCTATCATACCTTCTCTGGCTGGTCGATACGATACACTGAACAAAATATAAACGGCAACAACTTTTTTAGTTTTTTGCTTCCCATCTTTTCATGAGATGGAACTCAAAGATCTAAAACATTTTTTTTTTTTTTTTTTTGCATATATATACAAATAACCATTTCTCTCAATAATTGTTCACAAATCGTTGAAAAATCTGGTGGATAGTGAGCCACTTTCTCCTTTTGCCGAGGATAATCCATTTCCCACCTCACAGTGTGGCATATCAGATGCTGATATAGACCAGCATCGATTTATTGCACAGTGTGCCTTAGGTTGGCCACATAAAAGGCCACTCTGAACATGCATTTTTTGCTTTATTCGGAGGGTCTGGCTCCGAAAACCAGTCAGTATCTTGGTGTGAGGGTTAGGATTAGGGTTAGGGTATATGCTTTGTGAATCTGGAGTGGCCTGTGTTCATCGTCCATAACATACGGCCTCCCGTATGTTATGGACGATGAACACAGACCACTCGATTCACAACATTACCCTAACCCTAACCCTAATCCTAACCCTCACACCAGATACTGACTGGTTTTCGGACCCCCCCAGACCCCCCCAATAAAGCAAAAATGCATGTTCAGAGTGGCCTTTTATTGTGGCCAGCCTAAGGCACACCTGTGCAATAATCATGTTGTCTAATCAGCATCTTGATATGCCACACCTGTGAGGTGGGATGGATTATCTCAGCAAAGGAGAAGTGCTCACTATCACAGATTTTTTCAGATTTGTGAACAATATTTGAGAGAAATGGTTATTTTGTATATATAGAAAATGTTTTAGATCTTTGAGTTCATCTCATGAAAAATGGGAGCAAAAACAAAAGTGTTGCGTTTATATTTTTGTTCAGTGTATGTATCGACACAGAGAAGGTATATAGGCTTACAAGAGTTTAAACCTAG